CGCCGTCCCCCGCGTTCCGTGCTCTGCTCGAGCCGTCTTCCGCGTTCTCTCCCATCCTGGCCGAGTTGCTGGGAGCCTGCCCCGGAGTCAGGCCTGGCCCGTGCGGCCCCCGCATCCCGCTGCTCGCTTCTCTCCCGGGCCCCTAAGGGCCAGAAGAAACGGGCACGGATGTGGAAACGCAGCCTTTTGTAAGCGCCAGGCTGCCTGCGGGGCTGCTCGGCACGACGCGTCCGGCCACCCGCGCCCACAGTAGTCAGGGAGACATCGCCGGTGCCGCTTATTTTTAGTACACAGTCACTTATTACTTTGGGGCATGTCTCTTTTTGATTCGGGGTGTTACTGTGTCACGCAGGCTCACTGCCTCTTCCACCTTGCGGGCATTTCTCCTTTGGCCTCCCGAGTAGCTGGGACTACAGGCACGGGCCATCACTCCTGGCTCATCTTTTTTCTTTTGCAGAGATGAGGTCTCACTGTGTTGCCCAGGGTTAGGTCATGTCTTTTCAACTAGACTGCAAGCTCTTGAAGGCAGAGAGGGCTTTGCTCGAAGTTCTGTTCACATTTTAGGTCTTCAGAGCATGTTTGCTGAGTGACGGACCAAAATTTGGTGCTGTTTAACTCCGGAATCTATCTTCCTGTGTGCTAATATCAATCTATATGTGAAATGAGCCGGGTGTGGTGACTCATGCCTGTAATCCTAGCACTTTGGGAGAGGCCGAGGTGACAGAAGTGCCTGAGCCCAGGAGTTCCAGACCAGCCTGGGCAATGTGGCAAACTCAAAACATCAGCTTGGTGTGATGGCGCTTGTCTGTAGTCTCAGCTACTTGGAAGGCTGAGATGGAAGTTGCCTGAGCCCAGGAGGTTGAGGCACGGTAGCCGTGAATGTGCCACTGACCTATAGCCTGGGTGACAGAGTGAGACTCCAACAAAAAAAATAGGCAAGATGGCATAACTTAATGTGTCACCTTTCCTAGCAACTCTTATGTGTTTTGTTTTTAAATGTTTATCTTATTTTAAGAGATGGGCTCTTGCTTTGCTGCCCAGGCTGGTCTTAGACTCCCAGGCTCAAGTGATCCTCCTCCCATTGCCTCCTGTGAAGCTGTGACTGTAGGCACACCCCACCACGCCCAGACAACTCTTGTTTTGGGGAAAGATTTTTTTTTCCTTTTGAGTTGGAGTCTCACTCTGTCGCCCAGACTGGAGTGCAGTGGCCGCTTCCGGCCACCGCAGCCTCGACCTACTGGGCTCCAGCAATCCTTCCGCCTCAGCCTTCCAAGTAGCTGGAATTACAGGTGCGCGCTACCACGCCCGGATGATTTTTTGATTTATTGTAGGGATGAGGTCTCGCTGCCCAGGTGGGTCTCGAACCCGTGGGCTCAGGCAATCCACTCACCTCAGCCTCCCAAAGGCGTGGGATTACAGGCTGAGCCACCAAGCCCGGCTAGGGGAAAGATTTTTG